CCTTTCGTCCGCGGAAATCCCCAATCCAAATGCCCCTTTTTATTTTACGGGGCATCAAATTATAGCGCACCCCCCCCCCCCCCCCCCCCCCCAATTCTCACTGAAAGCGAGACGATTTCCCATGCAAAGGTGACTTACTATGTGCTGTATCGTCAGCGCCAAGTGTCCACGAGGCATTGGTGTAACCAACGATGAACATCATGTTCGGTACATCCTGGAGCATGGAACCGTTCCATACCAACCGGCCCGCCCAATCCACCTTCGCACCATTCACAGTGATGGCAATGTTACCTCCCATCCGCATATGGAGGCCAGTTGCCGTTACAATAGCATCGGCCTCCACTGTAGTACCATCCTTCATGCGCAGGCCGTTCTCGGTGACTGTGTCAATACGGCCGGTCACGATATGAGAATTCGGGTTTTCACGGAGGGTCTGGAAGAAGTCGCCGTTAGGGGAGAGACATAGCCGCTGCGTCCAAGGAATATACGTCGGCTCGAAGTGAGGGCTCCGAGGGACACGGTTAGGGAGTTGCCGGCTCATCCGGTTGATCATCGCAGTGCGAGCAAGCTGCGGAAAATAGTGGCAGAACAAGACCACAATGTGGATCTTGTACAGATACAAGATACGCAGCAGCGTCCCGGCATAGTATGCTGGCAGGAGCTTCATGAGAAAAGACCTTACAGGGCTCCCGTTCAGTGCGGAGACGATGTAGGTAGGACTCCTCTGTACCAGTGTCACGGCCTCCGCGGTTTCCGAGAGCGCGGGAAACAGAGTGACGGCGGTAGCTCCGCTCCCGATGACTACCATCTTCTTACCACTGTGATCGTAGTCTTCGGGCCAGTGCTGAGGGTGCAGCACTTTTCCTTTGAAGTTTTCCAGTCCCGGGATGGTCGTCTTGAAGGTATTTTCATAGTCATAATAGCCAGTCCCGAAGATGACCCAGCGTGCTCTGAACTCTTTCGTCTGTCCATCGTGTTCCGCTGTAATCTTCCATTGCTCTGTCCTCTTCGACCAGTCGGCTGAGAGGACTTTGTGATGAAAGCGAATGTGATGGTCAAGGCCGTATTTTGCGACAGTATTCTTCATATAATCTCTGATGAGCGGTCCCTTAGCGATGGGAGTCTCGTAAGGCCAAGGCTCCCATTGAAAACCAAAGGTGAACAAGTCTGAGTCGGAGCGAATTCCGGGATACCGGAAGAGATCCCAAGTGCCGCCGATGTCGCCGCGCCCTTCAAGTATAGTGAAGGTGGTGCCGGGCACCTGTGTCTGAAGACGATAGGCAGTGTTGATCCCACCTATCCCAGCTCCGATGATGAGTACGTCGAATACTTCGGCTCCACGCGTGCCGTTCAGTAGACCTTCTGTACTCATAGCGTCTATAGTCTCTTGAATAGAGCTATGTCGAAAATCAAGTAGCACCCAAACTAGTAGGTATACTCCAGATATGGTTGTTGATTAACACTAGATATATGGGTATCTCTGCACTCCACATCATATATTAACTTGGGGGTTGAATGGGTGATTAAACGTTCATGTATCACTACAGAATATCTTACCTGTTCGACTTTTATATTGTTGGATCTGCCCCCCAATCCGACTTGTGGTCTAGCTCCCACTTACCGACTCTTATGACCATTGACCCCTGATGCATGGTTCGCCACACTCAGCTCCCCGCAGTCTTCTCTTAACGGATGGATTCTCCACGGAACCACACTCGTTTGGTAACTTATTGGCAGCTGTATGATAAATGCTAGGTATCAGCTCGGTATCGGAAGGGTCCTTAGGCGGCGAATCGAGAGGATGTATGTATCAGGTTCAATGGTCACTTTTCCACCCTCTCGTATACGGTGGCTTGTAATAATAAGATTGACCAGTTATTGCACAACCAATCTGTGTTTCATGTAGGGGATCTGCGGGCCGCGATAATACTGGTTACGATGTCACCGAATGTTTGCTATCAACTGAGCCGAGGTTCTGTTCCTAAGCGGGGTTATGAGGTCAACACAATACAACTAGACCTGGCTATCCTAGTATTTACCCCATGTTATGGTTGAGGACCCTTGTTCTTTAAAGACTGTTCATACCTTAGTAAGCAAGCAATACTCAATCGTTAGTAATCAACTAGCAACGCCTTTCGGCATATGACCTGATCACTTAGCTGCTGTAGGGTTCCAGTTCTAGAAAAGGTCTTACAACGCTGTTACTACGTTGGAGACGTTGAAAACGATGACTGACAGATGTGGCGTTATGCTTGGTGATCCACGCTCGCATCAGCCGTTGAGTCCGTCTTCCTTGCTAGTACCCGAGTGGAGCAGAGCGGTCTCCTAGGAGGTTGTTCCATGTATCAACGCACCGAGGATGTTCCTGGTCTCTATCCGGAACTCTCTTGGCTGGCTTCCAAACTCGACAACAAAGCATTGGCTTCCGTACAAGACTGAATAGAGATTATGGGTATTCAAACAACACCTATAACTCTCAATAGTCAAATCATACTCGGCAGTTAAATGTTGGAGTTGTTGTTATCAACAACGGCCGGGTTCGCTATGTGTAAACAGCATGTTGCATACAATATAGTCCATGTGATGCTACCTAGAACCCGCAAGATTACTCAAATTACTATAACTCAGCGCACCACTTGAGCCTATCATTCAAAATCACGATAAACTATTGGTATATACACCATACTATACAAACATCTGGTGATTTTGTTGGCTATCGGGTAGTCTAGAATGGCTTCGCCTTCGGCTACACCGTAGAACTTTGCGTCTTTCAGCTCTGTTATACCTCGCTCATGCTGCACAGCGTTACACCCGGTTCTTTATCAGTGAGTAGCAGTAAGCAACGGCAAGGTCAACTAATATCAGCTTATCGTGAGGTAATCATACCAAAGAAGATATCAGTTGTGTCTTGATGCCGGCTAGGGAAATACTTGGCATAACGATGTGAAGCTTGTAGTCCAGAGCAATGTTGCCTAAGGCCAAGACATGTCTCACTCAAGTCCACGATACAACAGCCTCAAGTTGATAGACACCTATGCGGAATATTCCGTTCACTAACGTCAACTTTTATTCACACTCCCAAGACGAAATACTAAAACGCCCAGTCCAAGCTAGAAATGACATCGCTCGCGCCCTACAGATACAAGTATCACGATACTATCACGACACTACAACACTTCGCCGCCACCAGCGGAATCAATGCACTACCCCAGATTCCACAATATCCATCGCACCAAGCGACACACTAGACGCGACCGCTATGTTTCCAACACCGCCATATGACGCCCTCCTAGTCTTGGCCGCGCCACTAGCCTAACACCCGGATAGCTGCCTACAGAAATGCACGACATGCTATTCCCATCACGGCTGTTTGATCGTTCCGTCGTATCACTCGTATCCGTTGCACGTCACCAAGGGCGCGAAAGACATCTCATACTCTCAATACACACACACGTAGATAGGGTATTTAATGAAGTAGGTAGGTAGGTAGGTAGACAGAGAACAATGAAATCAAAGTGTAAATGATCTTTCAAAGAAGAGTTTGCGCGAATAGCTACACCTCGTAAATCATTCAATTGAATTATCGTACTACTACTATAGGTACCAGTGAGCATCACAAAATGGCAGACAACGCAACCCAAAACGATTCCATCGAGCTCGTGGCCGAATGTCTTTGCAAAGCGCACCGCTTCACAACGCACGTGCCGCGCTCCTCGCTGCCTCTGTCCTCGATATACTGCCACTGCGACTCGTGCCGGCGCGTAACAGGGGCTCTATACAGCACGTATCTCCCGTGGCCGGGCTCCCGCTCGTCCATCCACGAACGCATCCAGACCTCCCGTCTGAAACGCTATGCTTTCTCGGAATCTACAACCCTGTTCTCCTGCGAGACCTGCAGCAGCACCCTGTTCGCGGCGACTCCCGCCCGCGACGGCAGCGATGTCCCGGATTACGGCGTGACGACGGGCGTTCTGCACAACACTTCCGTCCCGAACTTCATTGACATCGCGCACCACATCTTCCTATCCGACACCAAAGACGGCGGCGCGACGCCATGGCTCTGCGACTCGAATTCTTCCTCCGCCGCCCGTCCGCGCCTCTGGAGCGGACGAAGCGGTTCCTCGGAGGAACTCTCTTCGACGGACCATAAATGGGCACTCCCGCTTAACGCCCCCATTCCCGCCTCGACTCCCGTGCGCTGCCACTGCGGCGGCGTGGACCTCGTATTGCGCAATCCGATCCCGGATTTCGCAGTTCTCAACCGGTCCGAGCTCCCGTGGTTCGTCGACCCCGAGTCGAACAAATCTCTAGGCGGGTTCGACGTATGCGACTCGTGCCGCGTGTCGTCCGGCGTGGACATTTTCCACTGGACCTTCGCGCAGCTCGCGCACATCGCCTTCGCGACGCCCGACTCGTCTTCGCACTTCCCAAGCTCAACCCACGACCTCGCAGCCGCCCTGACATCGCCCCACCGCGATCCGCGCCTCGGCACACTAACCATGTACCAGAGCTCGTCCGACGTCCAGCGGTACTTCTGCAGCGCGTGCTCGGCAGCCGTGTTCTACGCGACGGACGCGCGGGCCGAGATGGTCGATCTGTCCATCGGGCTTTTGCGCTCCTCGCACGGATCGCGCGCGGAGGAGCTCGTGTCGTGGGATTTCGGGGGCAGGGCGGTGTGGCGGGAGGATGTCGCGGGCGGGTGGAGGGAGGGCTTTATACAGAGCGTGGAAGCTGCGGCTGAGAGATGGAGGATAGGGAGAGGCCTTCCGAAGAATTTCCGGCGGGTGCAGAAGGAAGAGGCTGCTGCTGCTGCTGCTGCTGCTGATCAAGAGTGATGATGATGATGATGATGATGTACACCTATATACTTACATAAGTAGTTGTGGCAGTTGTTTACTAGGCTACCCTGATCAAAATTTGCGTGGTAATATCGTATACAATTTGAGGACAAGTATCCTTACCCCTTGCAATAAGATGGCAGTTCCATTCCGGGGCTGTAATAGCTGGAATCTTATTGCTGACCGAGGAAATATATATGCACTATTATGACTGTGTAGAGGGAATCGTGATGAACAATGAAACATTTCATATTGCAGAATTCAACCATGGAGCAACGAGGGACATTCAAGACTGATCTGAAATTGTTCGCTTCTGAGAAACATTTGTCTAGTGCACATTTGAAAGCTTACGCCTTTTCTCCCGCCTGTTTTGGAAACCGACATGGAAACCCATATAATGCACCGCATTTGGAAACAAAATCGCATTTTCTCACAAGCCAACCCATTACATAATGACCTCATTAGCGACATCCTACAAGTACAGTCAGCCGTGTTCTCACAGTCCAGAATAGAATGAACATAACTCACCCTCTTTAACTCTTTGAAGGGAAGGCAGACACAGTTCTGCACACGGACTTCATCACCAACACCACACTCCTTGCCCAAAATAGTAATACTTTGAACCTTGACGCCGTTCTTGACAATGCTTGTACTGTGACTCGTCACTGGAGTAGGGGTACCTTCTACACGAGCCCAAGCACCAACACGACTATTCCAACCGACGATAGAGTAGAGGACACAAGCGTCGTGCTTGATCTCGGCGTCCTCGAGGACAATCGACTCCTTTACACGGGCACCGGCACCAATGACAGCGCGAGGGCCGATTGAGACATTAGGACCGAGCTTGGCTGTGGGATCAATTTGCGCGGATGGGTGTATGAAGACGGGGGCTATGATGTTTGGCGACGGCTTAGCTAACTCCTTGGAGCCAGACTGCTGGGCCTGTTGTAAATAGAGGGCGTTGGCTGGGACGGCCGAGCCGGCTGTCTTGATCTGGCGCCAGAAGTCCTTGGTCTCGTGGACAAAGAATTGTTTGCTGTCGGCAAGATCACTGAGAATATCTTGCTCGAGGCGGATAACTTCGTTCTTCTTCTCCTCGTCTTCGTCGGCCATGAAACTTGACTCGAGGTTGTCTGACGAAGGGTATGACACGAGACGGGGACGGTCAGTTCTTCGCTTAATGGCACTTTTGATACTGGGGAAAATGGCGTCAACACTGAAGAGGTAGACGCCGCAGTTGATCAAGTTGGAGATCTGACTCTCGGGCTTTTCGACATAGTGCAGGACACGGCGGGAGTGTTGGTCCGAGACGATGCAACCGAAGTTGGTGGCGGCATCTTGGCTTACGCGGGTACCTAGAATAACAGCCTCGGCATCCTTGTCGTCGAAGAGTTTCGCCATGTCATTCAGGGGGAACGAGCAGCACACATCTGAGTTGAGGACGAATATGCGTTCGGGTCGGCCCTTGAGGATGGCATCTCGGAAGTGATACAGGCCGCCAGCGGTGCCCAAAGCTTGGTATTCGCGGAGATATTTGATAGGGAGGTTTGGGAATTCGGTCGCGGCCTCCTTGATGAAATCCTTGAAAACAGACTCATCGTAGTAACCAATCATGCACACCTCTTGTATGGAGGGCACTTTCGCGATGGCAGTGAGACAATGCCAGAGGATGGGATGACCGGCGACGTCGAAGAGAGGCTAAGCGCGGGGTTACTGGCGTGCACATGGGCGAAAGATGCTGGGATTTCGGGGGTCCAGTGGCTGAGCCAAGCCAATGGGGAATGAATCTGTGACGATGCTCACTGTACTCACCTTGGGAACATCAAGAGACAAAGGTCGAAACCGTGTGCCACGGGACGGGCCGCCGACCTGATAATATGAAAATTTACGTCAGCTGGTGTCGCATTACAGCTCCAGGTCCAGCTCCAGGACATATTTGCAATATAATCAATCATCAGATGAAGGATGGTGGGGTTCTTGGAGGCAACGGGAGGAAGTGGGTTCGTATACGCACCAAGATGACGGCCTTGGTGTCCTTGCCGGCAGCACCATTGGCCTTTTCACGGTGAGGCACCTGAAGCATATCGGCGTATTCTGTAACGAAAGTTGCGGCTGTATAGAGTATAAAGAAAGAGAGAGAGGTTGGTGATAGTAGGGACAGGGGAGGAATCAAGACTTGGAGAGGCGGTGATGAGAAGAGGTAGGTACAGTTGTTGGTCGCCAATAAACGTGTCACGGTGCCTTACCTGACCATGCCATGCGCCAGGTACAGAAAGACAGACAGACAGACAGGGATGGGGTACGGCTTAGGTACCTCGGCGAGCTAGGTAGGCAGGTGTGGGTGCAGCTAGATCCCCTAAGAAAGTGCTATGCATGGTTGTGATACTGGCATTGAACCACTATAACTGTGGCCGCCAGGCTTTGTCGAGGTTAGGTACCTCTTACCAAAGGTATCATCGAGTGTTGGAGGGTCTATGGAGTCAAATTCGATAAGTATAAAATAATTGATTCCCATCTCAGGATGTGGGGTTATTCTAGCTTGGTGATTGGCTCTATCATTCTACTCGACAACATTAATGCAATCAATCCAATGGCCCATCCTATGGCTCGCAGAAGACGAACATCTATATATCTAGTAGGTACTCGATAAAGGGATGGTTCAGATGCTTGAGTTATACATTACCGTAATAGCTTATATAAGCGGGTGAAATTCAAGAAATAGCGAAAATGATCTCTTGATGAAAAAAGAAGAGAGAGAGAGAGAGAGAGAGAGAGAGCTGGGGATTAATATAACAACAATTCTGAATGATAGAATCCAATATCTACAATCGATCATGACTCCACATCTCCGTGGGATACGCCCTACCTCTTCACAGGGACTCAATTGAAGTGCCACGGACATCTTCTATGAGAGCAATTGCTCATTTCACAGCCAATTGCCCCGAGGTCCTAGCGCCCACCGTCCACACTCTATCATCATGTCTCACCGTCTCCCTAACAATCATGGCCCCCATTCTATGGAAGACGCCCTTCTTCTTCTCCGCGTCTCCCCAGAGCACCATAGTAGCCCCCTTATCCTCATACCTACAATTCACGAAAAGCGCGTCCGCCTCGTAGAGGTCGTAATCCTCTGCCGTGCAATTCGATACCAAGACCTCTTTTCGACCATGTTCCTCGATCCAACACCCGTCTATGAACGGCCCTTGGCTCGAAGTTTCCAACGTGCTGAGGAGGGCATGTGGAAGCGGCATGCTATCCCTCGCGACCTCTACTCTGCCGAGGGTGGCGCGGGTTTTCAAGACACCGGCAGAGGTGATTCGAGCCCACGGCACCTCGACCCTGCGCCGGGCGTCTCCTACGTGCACGGTGTGGCTCGCGTCGAACATGCCGGGCATCCAGCAGCATCCGCTGACTTGCTTATCCGCCTGAAATATCTGAATATGCCCTGCATCAGATTCTCGAAGCCCACCCCGTACACCACCGGCATGTTCGGCGGCAGGTGCAGCAGTCCGAGGTAGCCGTAGACGTGATCCTCCGGGTGCAGACAGCCCCGCGGTCCGGCGTTGGCCCATAATTCCGGGAGTTCGGGCACGCTCCATTTTGCGCCGCCCAATCTGAGCTTCGTAGCGGGCGGGAGTATACGTGAGCCTCCGCATTTCTTGTCGTGGCAGAATGCCGGTCTGTAGCGACTCCACGGCGTCCACTCGATGCAGTTGGTCCGGCACCAGCTGGATCTGAGGTGTTCGTGCACGGCGCTGACCAGGCCGTAGTCCGCATCGTCTATGATCGCTGTCTCGGCCACCAGCAGTAGCCTTGTTGCCAGGGTAGCTTCCTGGAAGGTCCACACTCTGTGCATCCACGTACTCGATTTGAGCTCGACGTCGAGGCGTACGAGGTGATCCCCTATTCCTAACCCTCTCGCAGGTTCTGGCACGGAGAATATCCCGCCGTGCACCTTGACCTCTGGCACGAGAGCCACCACCAGGTTCGCTCCTGAGTAGTACGCGTCCATCTTCGGTATTTCGCTAGCCCTCTCCTGCGCATCATTCTGATTGATACACACCCTGTCTATCCACAGGCTGCTGATCTGCGTCGTCTCGATTACGGGTCGTATCTCTTCCACTATGTCTTCGACCCTGCTGTACTGTTTCCACACGTAGGACACCGCTATGTACCTTTCTCTTCCTACCGGAGGCCTGACTTCATTCGAGCGTGTGTCGTAAATCCGCGTAGGCGTGGACCCCGCCATTTGATGCCTCTTGACTTCTTCCATTGTCTCTTGTGCCCTGGACGATATTTCCAATTCTCCCATGGTGACCCATTCCCCCTCCGTCCTGCTCTCCTTTAGCCGTGCGTATCGCATCTCCCATCTCCGTACGCGGGCACCTAGCAGTCTGTACTGCATATCCCTCATTCGCGCTGCTTCTTTGACTGGCTTTGCGGAGCGTAGAGCAGCTGCACCCCTCACGTATCTCGAAGCATGGCCCATCGCGTACTGGGATCTTTTGTTTTGCGTCGGTGATGGCAGATGTTTAGGAGGCTTACGGCGCCACCGATGAAGACTGGGGGTGCTGGTAGTATTTTGCATCGTCGACCATACAATCCCTTGCTTCTCTTTGCACTGTTGTTGGTTGCCTTAGCAGCTATGTCTGTCAACTCAATCTTGTTTCTCTTCATGTGTCTCGTTTGCACCGTTCGAGGCGGGGCAATGGTTGGAAAGATAAATCAGCACGTAGGATCTTACTAGGTTGGTGATTGGCTACAGCTGTCCAGGCACCTTCATTTACAAGTACATTGGAGATTAATTTAAAGCTGCACTTGATCTTAAGTAAGCTACACGTGCTGTCAAAGAGTCTTCTAGCGCAGGAGGTAACATACTGAATGTTGTTCTATCGCGAACTTATTACTTGTTCAACGCTGGTCTCGAGCAAAGGGAAGCGAAGGTTGAAGGGGAGGAGACAAAACTAAGACTGAGCTCACATCATGATTCTTGGGTTTGAGTTCTCATATCAGGTATTATTATCACAGGTGCCTCATTTCTAACCTCTATCTCGGTCGAGACAATGCAATAAACTGGACTTGATCGTCTTATTTGTCGTCAGCACTGGCATCCTTTGCCAAGTCATGCTCTTTAAGCAACGTCGTGATCTCATCTGCACTCCACAGTCGTTGGTAAATCTTGCCATCCTCCGTCTGTCCTACAGTAGCAAACTCAACTAGATTATGTGTCAGTAATCCAAGCCTCTATCAGACCTTCGGTCTAGCTCATGGGGCTCTGGGTTGGGCTTACTCTTCTCACTGCTCAGCTTGGTCGAATCCATCGTCTTGCTAAGCACCTTTACCGCCATGCCACAAGCCTCCTTCAACGTACAATCCTCCTTGTAATCTTGCTTCAATAAACTATCCGCACTCGCTTTGTTTGCACCGGCACTTGTAGCTTTCCAGCCACCATAGTTGCCTGACGGATTGCTTAGGTAGAGTTGAAACTGTCTTTGCGGATCCCACCCCGCGTAGATGAAGGAGACGCCAAACGGCCGCAGACCACCGTGCTGTGTGTAGCCTTGCTTAAGGTCGCACAACTTGCGTACCAGCTGCTCGCAAGGAATATCTTCGTTGTATGTGAGGAGGTATCGTTGGGCGGATTGGCGGGCGAAGTTGATCAGGATGTTGGCGTCCGACGTCATGCCAGCTACGGCACAGATCATATTGCTGTCTTGGGTCAGCATAACTGCACTTGTGAAAGCCGCCTGGGGGAGGATCGCGCAGGCTTACTCGTTGAGGATATAGAGCTTCTCAGCTGAGGTATCCTGTTCTAGCAGCTTCGATGTCACTTTGCGCTCGGCCGCCAGGACGATGCCGTCTTTTGCGAGGATGCCAATGGCCGTGCCTGCGTGGGAAATAGCCTCCAGAGCATATTCAACTTGGTACAGACGACCTTCGGGGGAGAATATGGTAGTCTGTCGGAACAGTGTCAGCTTGGTCGCATGGCAGGGGACAGACGGGAAGTCTAGCTTACTCGTGAATCGTAACGGCGAGACATGATGGGCGATTCAGCCGAGGAGGCTATGAGCTAGGCGCTGTGAAATTCCCTGACGATGCGGCGGGCTAATTAATTTTTCAAGTGTCGAGGAGAACGGACGTCGAGAGGTCGAATGTTATCTCGGGGTGGTCGCAGGAAGAAGTTCTGAAAAAGCTGGTTTCCAAGCTGTCTATCAAATGATGTATGTGCTTGTCTGTGCTTGCAACGGCCGGGTGAGGCTAGGCAAGAGCTTCAGACGCGTACAGTGGGTGGCTGCCAGGCAGGTAAGTACCTACGTACCCGCCTCTGCCCGCCTATGGATGGCACTTACCAAGTTACCAGAGCTTACAGTAGCTTGCTTGCTTGCTTGCTGCTCTTGCTATTTGACATGGCCCAAGCTCCCTAGCGAAAATATCCACATACCTCGAAGTACCTAGGTATGCAGTACTTGAGCCACGCCCACCAGCCACTTAACATCACATACATATGGGTCAGTGTGCCTGAATAGATACATGGTTCACTGGCTAGATGCTCGAATTTCCTGCTGATAGTAGGAAGAGTACTTACTGTTTATGCTAAACATACTTAACCCATCATGAGCCAATCTCCTGCCCATTAGCCCGTACCGGTAACGGAGGGAGTCAATGATGTAGCCTTGCTTTCCTCCGCGATTGTGGCTTGTGCTGTAGGTTACATGTACTTAATTACCTAAGTACCTAAGGTACCTCCAGTAGGCAGTTGAATGTTACCTGGAGATCCGAGAGGTAGGGACGCCTGGAGGAGGCGTGGGGTAGGTAGGTACCTAAGTACTTCTGCTGCCGGACTTTACATAGTAAAGTCTCTTAATTGATTCCTAATGAACTTGCCCTCTGCCTGCCAGTGTACATACAGTACTGTAGGCATTGCAAGCTACCCTAGAGATACTACATCTCATGCTCATCTGAAGTACTTACGGTAGACCTCTCTTACCTCTACTACACAGCCTAAACACGACTTGAAGGTAAGTATTCAACATGCTGTTGCGATGTACCTCTATGCCAAGGCAGGGGAGGGCATCTCCACCCGCCCCCGCTGTTTTCCTCTGAAATCCCGGCTTTGATTGGTGCATGGTCCCTCCCTCACACCATCCACCCCATCCGCCCATTTTTACCATACCTCACCTCCCCCGACCGCCGACCTGGCGAGATGAATCCTCTCTCTCCACCACCTCTCCACGGCCTCGACAGATTGCAGCTTTACTACAGCCTTGGATCTCAACCTAGGACCGCTGAGATACCGGCTGTTCTGTTTCCGTTGTGTCCGACATTATCTCTATTCGCCATCTATCCCACTCATCCCTTCGCACTCACCCCGCCCGCGACAAAAAAAACCGCCATTCACAAGTGCTGCTAGCACGCGACATGTTGTGAAGTCTCCGTATTATTATTCTCAATTCCCATTTTCGCGTCGAGCCACCTCAAGTCGCACGTCGCCTTCTTTACGCCGGCGCCCACTCAAGCTTTACTGCGCCAGTGCGGGAGTTTCAACGTAGCCACAACAACAACAGTGTCCCCGCCGCACCAGGAGTAGGAATTCACCAGGCTGGGATTTTTGCGTGGGAAAACCTTGATTAAGACGTACCTTAGTTGATGATCTGTGGTCCTCTATCGCCTCTCTCATCCTGCTGCAGCTCCAGCGTTGCGCCAAACTGTAGTCCAAGCGGGCATTGTAGAAGACATGAGTGTTTGAATTCCTGATTGCCAGGTACCAACTGAACCCGTCGCATTCTCCCGTAGCCAACACAGCTGTGCCGCACGACTCTCGCGCAGCTCGTCAATACTTAGGTAGTTTACACACATTAGTTGTGCTCAACGCGTTAAACTTCATTGTCTATCACCATGTCCGGTAAGCATATCACCCGCGAAACGTTGCGCGACCATGTGTCAGTGGCAGAAGGGAGGATTGCCTTCTTAGCCTCCTTCAAACACAGCCCCGTGGCATTCTACACTCTCTAGACTACAATCCATGTCAGACTTCTGTTACAGTATAAGTGTCTAACAACGTTGTCTCTACAGGCGAAGCAGAACCCCGGCGATCGGTGCGTGCGACCAAGGGCCAGCATACCAAAGCCTTCGATCAACTTGAGAACGGACCAGAACCGAAACGACGCCAGACCAAGAAAAATACTAAGAAGGCCGCAGAAAAGGAAGACAAGCACGAGGAGGACGAAGAGATCATCCGCTGTATCTGCGGCGCAACTACACAGGATGATGACGACGCGAACGAGCCTTGGATCGCCTGTGACAAGTGTGGTGCTTGGCAGCATAATGTTTGTGTTGGCATGAGTGTATTCACAGAAGACTTGACTAAGGATTACTTCTGTGAACAATGTGCCCCCCAAGATCACAAAGAAACCTTGGAGGCTATTGAGAGAGGGGAAAAGCCGTGGGAAGACCGACGACAAAAGTACGAAGATGAGAAGAAGAAGAAGAAGGGTGGAAAGAAGGGCAAGGGGAAGCGTGCTAGTGATCACAAGGAACGAGCATCGCCCAGTGCCGCAAGCGCCAAACCAAAGCCATCCCCGACGCCAGATGTAAAAAAGGAGGAGCCTGCCCAAGAGCCTCCACAAAAAGGGAAGCGCAAATCGCGAGACCATTCTCAAGGCCCTGCTACGAAGCAAAGGAAGGTTGCAGAAGCTCAGTCCGCTCCGATATACCCCAGTTATTCGCCTCCAAAGGATCTCCTAGAGTCAATCTCAAAATTTGAGGGTACGAGGAAGCAGGCTGCAGTAGCTATACAAAAATCACTTGATACTGCTATCGACCAAGCCGAAAAGAAGAAACTATTTACTCTTCCAGATGGTAGCACGAAGAAGCCCTTCTCTGAGCGCTTAGCAATTGAGATTGAACGCGCATTTCATGATACCCACCCAAACACTTCTCAGAATGCTGCGCAGCTCAGAACTTTGATGTTTAGCTTGAAGAATAACATCGAACTTGCAGTTCGAGTTTTGAACCGTAGCCTCCCACCTCCCTCATTTGTGGTTATGACTGGGGAGGAGTTGGCAACGAAGGAACTCCAACGTGAAAATGCAGAGATGAAAGCCCGGGCTGATAAGCAATCCATTCTCATCACTGATGATGCACCCCGTGTACGACGCACGCATAAAGGGGAAGAAGTGGTAGAAGCAGAGAGCTTTTCGGCGCCCATAGAGGAAGCTCCGTCGCAACTCCGACAACAGGGGATCCGGGAGGCTGCTGAAGCGGTGGGTGCGGGCGCAGGTGCAGCTGCAGGCGTAGGTGCAGATGTAAATGCAAAGGCTGTCGCAGACGCGGGTGCGGCAGCAAGCACCAGTGCCGGTGCTAGCGTAGACACCCCGGGCGCCGATGGCGAAAAGTCAACGTCGTCGCGTCGAACCTCATCGGGGCCGTTGCGGATCAACACGCAAACTTCACAATCGCCCAAGCCGTCCGACTTCGATCTCGGCAAGGTTTTCTCTAGTGTACGATCTCCCTCTGCTCCGCATCAGCGACGATCTTCCACGCAGGTTCGCTCAGCCGGTCCCGGGGATGACCCCGATGTTGACCGACTACTTCAGGACGATGGTACTGAGTCCCCTCCATATTCACCCACCGAGGATATTGATCCGGACGTGATCTGGCGTGGGCCTTTAACTATGACCAGTGTAGCGGATATCACCACCATCGCCAAGTTTGTTGGAGGCGCGGACCTCAGCAAAGTAAGGGGTATTGCCTGGAAGGATCTGATACCGCCTCTGCTTAGTGTTTGTGGCCGGATACCAGAAGAGAAGGCAATACCGTACCTTTGTGGTCTGCGATATAATAACCAGATTGACTTGGTCATCACTAGTCTCTCTCCAGCGCAACCCAACAATGAGGCCGATCGCAAGCAATTCTTCTCTGTCGTAGACTATTTCACGACCAAGAAGCGTTATGGCGTAGTTGGCGAGCGCAAGCTTGGCAATGTGCGGGATACATACCTCGTGCCCGTATCCGAGGGTGACGGGCCGATTCCAGAGCCGATGCAAAATATAGGTGACCATTTGATCCCTCGAGTGCGAACAGAGCCCATGCTACTTATGATCTTCGTTGTCCGAGACGAAAAACGAACCCCGATACCAGCTGATCAGTCACGATCCGATACACAGCAAACCCAATCCAGCAGTAGCACTCCATCCCAAGCAACGCCTGTGCCACCACCTAGGCATCCATCCATGTCTGGTCCTGCCTGGTCCCCTGCCACGCCCCAGGCTCCATCTGGCAACTCGAGTCTACCACCTCAGCAATACAGTCAAACACCGATACCACCGCCGAAAATCCCGGGACAGCCGATGCCTCCCGCTCCTCCCGTTCAACCACCACGCACTGCGCTACCCGCTCCAGCAACTCAATCAAGTGCTCCTCCGCCTCCCGCTTTCAATCAAGATCCTAATGTTAGTGCCATGAGAGCAGCACAAGCGGAAGGCGAGATGAAAGCCCGGCAGGTACTTGGTCCGCTTTTTGGTAGCTCCACTGTTACGTTCCTTCTGCCCCACGCTGCTAGGATGAAGGAAGGCGAATGGAACGCTGTTCGACGGTGTCTCGAGCGAGACCCCCGGTCTCGTGATGACCTTCAACTCCTGAGCAAGCTCTTGACTGAAGAGGGCAATGCCAGGAAGAACGCGTCTTCACCTCAAACCAACACTCCCTCACCTGGAGTTGTGCAGACAACACTTGCCGCTGCCGCCGTTCCTGGTCCAGAGGCTGCGCCGCATCCCCAACTAAAAGGCTAGGGCTAATGTATTCATGTAGCTGGTATGTCCTAGTAAATGAGGTGTCATCTTGCACCGACTATGTATGATATTGCGGAAAGCGTTGGCTGGGATTTTGGTGACGGGTTCAAATGCCCGAGATATATATTAGTTGAATCAAACCATCGGACGTTGTATTTAACGATCCTAGCTACTATTGTCCTGCCCATCTTATAAAGCAATCCCGAGGCATATTTGCGGACATTACGTTATGCCGCAAGTTTTTTATGTACTGCATATCTCGGCATACGACCCATCCAACTGTTATAGGTGCGCAGATAATATTTCAATCAAGGCATTTCACGACATATTTACTTTTAAGGTGTAAATTACACTTAGAGTAAGCGAATGTGCATTCCTAATGATAGTATAGCATGCCATATCTCTACGCCGCCGTACACTTTTCCCGTCATCATGTAATCTCTCTCCAAGCGGAGACGCGTAAAATTGGGACTGCTAATGGAATTCTGACCCTAACGCGTCACAACACTATCGCAGTGTTTCGAGCGACTCGTCGCGCAATAGCTGGTATACCAGGCTGAGGATTCCCAAGACAAGGCATAGGCAGTGCATGGCTTCTGCATGGCAACATATAATTGGTATTCATTATCACACACAATAAAAATATGAGGTTAGTGGGTGGGCTTCCTTTAGTCGCGGGAAAGTAAGCACGACGTATTGACAGTAAGGACTATCAGTTATAATTAAAATGTAGTATACGACAATATTTGACATGAAACCCCAAGGCCACCCGTTGTGGGCAGCAGTAACGGTAATGAGCTTCTCCTATACAACTGTCGCAACCAAGAAGAATACAGATAACACGATGATCTCCAGTGGCTTCTTAACGTTGCCCCTGCTCACGACTGCCATGGTCGGCTGTGCGGGCACGGGTACGGGCACAGCAGTGCCAGTCGCTGGCGTCACTGTGTTCTGATGCTGTGTAGATAAAGTAGAGCAGTGTTCAGAGAGCGGTGCGGCCACGAACGGTCCGCCACCAGATGGGTATGTCATAGTCGCTGTTATGGCTTCCGGTCCACACACGCCTGCATTGCACGTGTGGACTGACGAGGTGAATCCGTATGGCATTTGCGTGGGCTCGTCGAAGCTTGGAAGCGAGGATAGCCCGATGTATGTTTCCGTGATAGCATAGCTCTGTGCCGTTACTCCAGAGGCGGCGGCGGTGTGGAAGGCCAAGCACGTCGTCGTGAACGAGCTGACAAGCGTGCATCCTGGACAGCCACAGGACGTACACGGCGGCATAGTATAGGACAGAGTTATTGTCTCCTGGTATCCGGGTTTCGTGTTGACGATGGGTGCCACCCCTGGATCTGGCATCGAGGACGCTTCCGTAACGCATTCTGTCACGATGAAGGAGGTGTAAGCGAGCTGCTGGGCCGCGACGCTTATGCCGCTCAGTAGGTGCAGCGCGGGGAAAATCAAAGATCTCATCGAGAAGAAGGGGTCTCCTGAAAGGGAGAACGAGTTAAGACATGGTGTGGTAAGGGTAGGGCAGGATTCAATTCGAGGAATACGACGTGCGACTTTGCAGACGCGACCTACGCAAGTGACGTGGCGTATATATATGAGTCTTGCCTCGCCATGTTGACGAAACCATCGCTGTGTGTTGAGACATATTGCATTCGGTCGAGGAATTCCGCAAATTTGCACTTGTCTCGGAACGCTGAGTGGTAGGCATGGGCGAGGCGTCGCGAGCCAGATGTGAGATACTTGTCTCAGACGCGCTCGAGATGAAAATAGAGCTTCACTTATAAGGACTGCCTGCGAGAGACCCCCTTCGGGGACAAGTGGGATGGGAATTAGTAGATGTTTCGACAATTAGATTCGCCTATCGTCGAGGCAAACTTTCACTAACATGCTCCCGTATCTCACCATATTGGCCTGCTTGTTCCATGCCGGCGATGGACACGCTGCCCACAGGAATCGGTCGCCAAAATTCGATGTGCTATACGAGCCATACAAGATCGCGCAGAAACCTCAGTCGATATGTTATACGTACATGACAACAGTGTTGATAACTTTGCCGGCAGATCGAACTACGACCTGCTTAGAAGACGTGCCATCCTCAGGATTGCTTGATGACCCGGGTGGTAAGCCATGCTATTCTTCTCCTCCCGTACCATGTATCAAGGCATCTAACCGCTCGCTGTCTAGACCCGGGAGACCCAGCTGATCCAGGCTATAAACCAGCAGTACCCTCCACGCCAGGTCCTGAACAACTGGCGACACAGGCAGGGGGAAAGCCGGAGAGCGTTGCTCCAGACAATGGCGGAACGAAGACAACGCCAAACCAATCGCCCGTCAACACAGGGGAAGTTCCTTCCATGCCTTTTGGGATTAACCGTCCGGTAGGTATTTTACCTCATTAGCTCTATTATATGAAGCGGTCTAACTCTTTAGCAGGTAATACCTGTTGTGGTTGGCATTACCAGGAAGAAACTATTTGCAAGCACACGCCCTTCAGAGCTAACAGACGGATTCGTGGGCAATGCAGTATTCGAGACATCGCCCAACTGCTCAGAAGCGCGACTATTCAACTTAGGCAATGGCCGCTTGGAGAGCAGGGGGCGATATGTGTCCGTTGATTCAGGGGTACAATATATAGACATTAGCGATACCCCCACGGGCCAAATATCCACCCGCTTCGATTCCGAAGACGGATATTTGGTATGGAGAAACACGGCGTTTTATAAGGGCATCGCTGGCTTCTGTAAAGGCATGGATGGCCGGATATACGCAACGTTTACGGAATTGGGAGGTCCGGCTGGCTGTACGACGATACAGCTTGTTGTCTATTATGGTAAGTTACGAAGCTTGACAATTGTGGTGGAATTACTAACAATGGCACTACGTAGCTGAAAGATGCCAGAATGGTGTCATCCTCGACGCAACTGATATTAGAAACATCTACAATACCCGGTCGAGCCAGGCGTTGTCAGAAGCGATCTCGTCGACGTCGAAACAGAATAGTATACCTGGTAACTATTACGCCAGCGCCTCAACATCAACTTCAGAGACTCCAGATACAAGTAATGATAGGGATAGGGGCTCTAGGGTTAGGACACAGACAAATCCTAGAACTGGAGTCGTTACCAGCGGCTCTTTGATGTCGTCCACGAACTCTATCGGCCCCGGTACGTCTACATCTAGCGGAAACTCGCCCGCAACAAGTGGAAATAACAACCGCCCAGCCCCAACATCGACCAACTCGCTGGCCCAAAGTGCTCAGCCATCAAGTAGCGACTCGGAACGCCAACGTGCTTCCGTCAGTCCGATCGTCAACCCAGCCAGCCCTAGTTCAATTTCAAACTCAGGCATTAGCTCAAGCAGCCAACCAGTTCAACAGCCAAGTACCGCAGCCATCCCAGAGGATAACAACCCTGATTCAAGAATTCGTGATAGTCGGACCCGTGATACAGGTTCGACATCTATGACGGGTGCATCACCCAGCGCTGGTTCTTCGTCAAGCTCAGGAGCAAGCTCCAGCAGTCAACCAACCCAAGAGCCAAGTGTTACAACCACTCCAGAGGACAACAGTCCTGACTCAAGAACTCGCGATAGTAGGACCCGCGATATAGCTTCTACGCCTATGACGAGTCCATCATCCAGCAATATTTCCGCGTCAAGCCTGTCCATTCCACCCGGCACCAACATCGCCGGCGGCACCAGCTCACAACAGACAGCTAGTTCGTCTGGAAACGCAAGCGAGACAAATCTAGACGGAACATCTTCTACGCCGGGCGCAAGTACGGCTACCGGGCTGCAGAGTACTGGGGCTTCGTCTAGCAACGGAGCATCAGTGACCAGCAGCGCTGCACCTACCGAGTCGAACGCTGATAGCACCGCGCCAAGGGATAGCCGTACTTTTGGATCGCCTTCGTCCAGTTTGTCTACTAACAGCGCTGATACTTCCGGCTCTCTTGAGTCGGGTGATGATAGTAGCCCTCAAAGGGATAGTCGTACACGCACACCACCTACGCCTACGTCGTCTGGTATGTCTACGAGTAACGCCACGACCGAACTTCTTTTGGCTACTTTGACAGAGCCGAGTGATGATAATAGTCCCTCCAGGGACAGTCGTACACGGACACCGCCTTCACCATCTGGCGCGTTTACGAGCGAGCTACCTACCAGCAGTGGTCCCGTCACTGTATCGACTGAATCAAGTGATGACAATAGTCCTCCTAGGGATAGCCGTACACGGACACTACCGTCGTCGTCCGGTGCTTCTACGAGCGAGGTATCGACTAGCAGTGCTTCTATTACTGCATCGACTGAATCAAGTGATGACAATAGTCCTCCAAGGGACAGTCGTACTCGCACGCCACCGGCGTCGTCTGGTGTGTCAATGAGCGGAGCGTCGACCAGCAGTTCCTCTATCACTGCATCGACAGAATCAGGTGATGATAGTGGCGCGCCTAGGGATAGCCGTACACAGACACCACCGTCATCATCTGGCGTGTCTACGAGCGACAGCAGTCCTTCTAGCACTTCACCTACTGATTCAAGTGATGAAGGTAGCCCGCCTAGAGATAGTCGTACCTTTATATCACCCTCGTCTAGCCTGTCTAGCGGTGTAACATCGACCAATACGGCTCTCGAGACTACATCTACCTCCTCAGACCCTGATGAAAGCCCACCGAGAGATAGTCGCACTCGTAACTCGTCCTCGCCTAGCGTATCCACTGGAACCACATCCACTAGCATAGTTTCCGTAGCTACATCGACTGAGTCTGACCCCGATAATAGCCCACCAAGAGATAGCCGTACAGACGGCCCGCAGACCTCTACCTCAGAATCATCATCACAGCCCTTCAGCTCATCTACCGGTGTATTCTCAACCGGCACAGCTTCTGTGACTGCATCAACAGAGTCTGACCCTGATGATAGCCCACCCAGAGATAGCCGAACATTTGGAACGCCTTCATCTTCACAGCCTAATGGCTCGTCATCAATGACATCGGTGCCTAGCGAGGTACTCAGTGGGATTGATACATCTGGTAGCTCGTCCGCCAGTTCAACTGATCGTATTACATCTTCGACGCCAGGTTTGACTTCTGGAATCCCTGTAACTAGCTCGACGCCGACTCCTTCCTCTTCTGAAGATGGTGACGTTGATGACACTGAGAATCTCCCTGACCCCAGGAGCAGTAGTGAATCTTCAGAATCGGTGGGCAGTGTTGCTTCTAGTGACGCATCGACGTCGTCTGGGTTGTCCACATCATCTAGATCGCCTACGTCTGAACTGTCCACACCGGCTACTGTTCCTCCAATATCACAGCCTGATGTTACCTCGAGCATAGGATCATTCAGTTCTCCTACCATATCTGGTTCGGAATCAAGAGTTAGCACACCACGGCCAAGCGATTCAACTACCGCTAGTCAATCCATTGATACGTCAAGTAATTCTGAAACAAAAGTTTCAGTTATCTCACCTCCCATACTCACTTCTACACGTCTTCTTACCTCATCATCGGGGGTCGAAGTATCTTCATCACCAACACTACCGGGTACTATTTCCACGCCGGCCGTTATCACTAGTTCTAACAGACCATCTTTCCCTATCTCATCAACTACGACACAAGGAGTAGACACCGCACCATCAGACTCAGTGCCAGCCGCCGAGACTACGCCTGCCGATGCCACCATTCCCGATACATCCTTCCCGTCGCCCTCACAATCTACCACATGGGTTGCTGGAACTTCAGCATCGTCGGTTATATCTCTAGTCACAGAGTCTACGCCAGGGATCTCGAGTGGTTCTAATACATTATTTTCTTATCCCGCACAACCTATGACGACGCCAGTTATCGACTCACCGAGCGTCCCTGCTTCATCCGACGCTCTTACAATATACTTGGCTGAGTCTTCCCCAACCATGTCGTACCCCGTTGAAGCGACAACTGAATTGACGGCCCCAACATCCCAAGTCGACCAGCCGCAACCGTACACCGTCCACCCAGCTCCAATCATGTACGTATCAAATATTCTAACCGTCGGAGACTATACTAACACACCTCAACAGAGAACAGCAACCGTACACAGTAGCACCACCACCGGATCCTTACCTCGTGAAGCCACAAGACAATTATCAAGCAGCACCACAGCCAGAGCCATACCCAGCCATACCACAAGACTCCTACCCCGTACGCCCGTACCCAGTGCAGCAACAGGATTCTTACCCAGTCAACCCCGCTCCTCCCAATGGCGAGATCCCCGCGGATATAGATACCTAGTTCGAGGGACAGACAGATTGACGGAGTAAAATACCATGCACAGAGCGGATAACATCACCAGTCCGCAGACCAAACACACCCAACACGGCGGGGCATAATGTCCTGGATACCTATCCTGAGTATGGACCGAGACAGTGCACGTTCCGCCCAAGAACGGCAGACAGGCAGGCTTCGGATCGCGGAGAAAGACCGACC